CCGGCTGCTCCTGACTTGTCGCAGTCGCAGCCGTCTGCTCGACAACCACCAAGGGCACGACCGCCACCGTGGGCGCTGCCGGACCAGCCAACGAGGCCGCAGCGGCAGCGTCACTCCTACCCGAAATAGGGGTGACGCCGGGCAGCGTAATCCGCCCTACCTGGAGAGCGAGGCTCTTCCTAGGCGTCGGCCCCAAAGGGTGGCCTCATCGCAAGAATCTGCAAAACAGAAAAAGGGCATAAGGTCGGAACGGAGAAATAAAGGAAGAAAGCGAGGGGAATCGGTGACGTACTCTGACGCTTTCGGTCGACGGGTGCGTTTCGGGGACGAACCCCTGGACCCCTGCTCCAACTCATGTGGACGGGACTGTTTCGAGCCTGCCCCCTGCTCTGACGCAGGGGGGCTCGTCTCTCTTGCCTCCGGGGGTGCAGCACCAGAGCCGCTCCCCTCCATCGGCTCATGGGGCGCGGCGCTAGAGCCGCCCCCTCCATCAGCTCATGGGGCGCGGCGTCAGAACCACCCTCCTCCGCCAGTACCTCGGGGACGGCATCGGATCTGTCCCCTCCCATCCATCGATCCTCCGCCGGCACCCCGCGAGTGACGGCGGATCCTCCGGCTCCCGCCGGACCCAGAGGTAGGCCCGGCTCCACCGTCCCCACGAACTCACTTCCCTCCGCGTGGAATGGAAGGGGTCCCTACATGGACAGCGAGTCCTCGTTCACCAGGTCACCCCAATCCACACTGGTTGCCGTCTCATCATCGTCGTCGTCATCATCGTCGTCATCATCACTACTAGTCTCCTCTCCTCGATCGCGAGCTTGCTGCTTCCGTATCGCCTTCTTCTTCACGAGCTCCCTCATCTTCTTGTCCCAATCGGCCAGGGCGGTTTGTTGTCGCCCGGGTTGGGTCCTTCGGCAGCAGAACCGGGCTGTTCTTGAAGAACAGTCCCCGGCTAATCCCGCTATCCCACGGTTAGCATCAGGGGATCAGAAATTTCAAGCGGAAAGAGGAGCAAGGGAAAAGAAAACTTACAAAGTCAATAAACCCTGGCTCCGGCCGCATTGGGGGATGCCCCGGCACTGGGTACACGAAGTCGAGGACGACGCCAACGGAGTCCTTCGTGGGCTCCATCGCCTCCTTAATGCGTTGTGCCACCTCGGAAGGAGGGAGCGCTTCATCGGCGAGCGCCGTCCCTTCGAACGACGCTTCAGGCACCATCTAATACAGGGGAAGCGCGCGTGCCATCAGCGGTGCAACCCTCCTCGCGTGGTAGGCACCAATAATCCCCGACCCTTTCACGCCCCTCTCCTTCAGAGTTCGGAGGGCAGCGAGAAGGCCGTTGAGATGCTTCTTGTCCTTGGCCTAAACACCCCACCCCTATGACTCCGGGGCTTCCAAGATGTAGCGCCCAGTGAAGGCCGGCAAGGGAGCAGCGGCGTCGTTCTTGACATAGAACCACTGCGAATGCCACCCCTTGTTAGAGGTGGTCAGACGCATTAACGGATACGCCCCCGCCCGGGTGTTGCGGAGGTGGATACTGGCGCACCCCACCGACGCGTGCAGATCTTGCTTCCCGACCCGCCTCTTCATGAGATTGACGGCAAAGAGATACCGCCACAGGTCAAAGTGGGGATCGATCCCCAAGAACCCCTCACACAGGGCAACAAACGCCGCAATGTGCTGAATCCCGTTGGGGGTAAGGTGTTGAAGCTCCACCTGATAGTAGTCCATCAGTCCCCGAAGGAACTGATGGGCGGGCGTGGCGAATCCTCGCTCGTGGAAGTGGGCGAAAGAAATGATGTACCCTTTGGGAGGCTCCGGTTCCCCCTCTTCACCAGGCAGCCGCCACTCCTCGGCGGCGGTCAACGGGCGAAGGAGGCCTCGGCGAACGAGGCCCTCTAAGCGCTGAGGAGAGATGTTGGATTTGTACCCCGGGTCCATTACGACGGTAGGAGCGGCACGGGGAAGAAGGCAGCAGCGAGTTTGATGGCGGAGGCAGTATGGGTGCAAGAGGCGCAGGCGATTGGCGGCGGAGGCTGAGGACGCGAAGGCGAGGAGGCAAAACGTGAAACCCTGGGGGCGAACCCCATGGTTTTATAGGGGCGACGGATGCGAGAAGGGCAACCATCCGACTCGATCTCCGAGCCTGCCACGCGCACTGCCGCGTCACCTCGCAGGATACGTGCACACGACCCCTATCCCTTCCCAAAAAAATCACGTCGGACGGTTCGCCTTCCCTAGGCGGACCAGGACTCTCTCTCCATCAAGGGGACACAGGTCACAGAGCTTTTCCCTCCGGCCCACCTAGGGTCCCGGAGCCAAAGGGTCGTCCCAACGAGGGATAGGCCCACAAACTACCGGGGCTCAAGGACGCAAGCATCACTAGGGCCTCGATCCGCTATCAGGTCCTAGCCAGACCGGCACTGAATAAAAATCCCGCGAACGGAATACCACGATTCCCTTAAAAATATCCAGCTGACAAAAAACCAAGTCTTTCAGCCTTACCCGCGAGGGGTCCGATACTACCCCCCCCCGGGCGACTCTACTCGAATCACCCGGGGGCTCGGGGGCTACACCCATCGGGTGCGCTCGCGCGCACCCTCTGGCAAGTTAACTCTGACGGAATCAAAAGCACCCCCCGGGCGATTCTGTCCAAATCACCCGGGGGCTCGGAAGCTACTGACGGGGACCTAATACCGGGGTACCCCAGAAGATGGAACCAATAATCATCGAACGTTAAAAACTCCCGGACGGACAAGGGCGCCGCTGCGTTTCTTGCCCAAATGACAGAAGTTTGGTTCCGCCTCGCCCGACACCCTTGGGCCAGCTCCGCCTCACTCGAGGGCTAAGGGCTAGACTCCGCCTCACCCGACGCCCTTGGGCCAGCTCCGCCTCGCCCGAGGGTGAAGGGCTAGACTCCGCCTCGCCCGACGCCCTTGGGTCAGATCCGCCTCGCCCGAGGGCTAAGGGCTAGACTCCGCCTCACCCAACGCCCTTGGGCCAGCTCCGCCTCGCTCGAAGGGCTAAGGGCTAGACTCTGCCTCGCCCGAAGCCCTTGGGCCAGCTCTGTCTTGCCCGAGGGCTAAGGGCTAGACTCCGCCTCGTCCGACGCCCTTGGGTCAGTTTCGCCTCGCCCGAAGGCTAAGGGCTAGACTCTGCCTCGCCCGACACCCTTGGGTCAGCTTCACCTTGCCCGAGGGCTGGGCTCGACTCCGCCTCGCCCGACGCCTTTGGGTCAGCACCGCCTCGCCCAAGGGCTAAGGGCTCAACTCGGTCTCGCCCGACGGATAAAAGCTAGGCTCTACCTCGCCCGACGTCTGAGGACAAACCTCGCCTCGCCCGATGTCCGAAGACTGGTTTCGTCTCACCTGACAACCTCTCCCCGCTCCCTCATGATGATAGGTACAGGTTAGGACAAGACGTTTGGGTCAACCGCGCCTTCGAGGACCATACCCTGCGCCCCGGCAGGAAAATACTACCAGGGAACGACGGGATGGGTGCTTTAGACCCTTCCAGGCATGACAGGGCCTGAATAGTGTTGCGGGCGCGTGCTCTTCGCCCTACAGAGTTGTAGGCGCCGCCTTCAGTCCTCAGACACGGAACCCAACATAGACATACGACAACCACTACGGTCCAGGAAAGAGCTCGCGCCCTCCCCAATGACGGATGTGCGGTCACTGCGCTGTGGTCTCAAGGGAGCGGCGTCCGCTCCACGATCCCTCGGGCCCACCAGATCGGAGCACTCGTTTCGGCCTTCGGACGCTCTCTCCGATCGGAAGGCCTTGCCCACAGCGTTACTCCGGACTCCGACCACACGTCCCTCCGACGGGGATTCGTAAGAACCAGAAGGCGTGCGGAGCAAGGCTGGGCAATGCTCATAAGTCAAAATGACTATACCAGAGTCCATACCCTGCGCGGAGCAGTACTCTGTAGCCATCCTGACATTCTACAGTGGCATCGACAGTATTGTAGGCGCTTACCCTTACCTGATATCCGTCGGAATGGACAACAAGGTTGGGTAGACTGAACAACAAGGCACAGTAGCATACGCACACTTTCCCTCTCGCTTGTAAAACCATCCCCTTCATCTATAAAAGGGGAGGTGCTTCCTCCAACCAGAGGACCGACTTTTGACACAACACACATCACACACAGTCAAGCTGCTACCAAGCTCTTGGCATCCTTTCGACCCTTCCATCAGAGGCTTGGGACCAATCCCTCTCTCGACCGTTTGTACCCCCTACTACGAACCATTTTCGGTGCTAATAACACGAGCAGCAACAGACTCGACGTAGGGACATTCAGCCCGAACCAGTATAAATCTTGTGTCCTTTAGCGCACCATCCAGGCCTAACGCGCATCACTATAAATTTACTTGCCGGTGCTTGTTCGAAACACCGACAATTAGCATGATGTGGGGGGATTTTTTTTGGCAGGACCAAGCTGCTAATCAACTTACATACCTCCAATTTTGTTTTAACTTGACCCATTTGATCTCTGATTCTTTTAGCACTTGGATGGACATGTACATTAACAATGCTGAACTGCAGCAGTAAAGCGACATTGCAACTACTAGCATATTTTCTGAAAACACTTGCAGATATTAATAAGATTGTGATGATTTATCATGTCAATTTCACAGCATTCTTTTCTCAAAATCCCGCGACATGTTTTCCAGTGATGAGATACAATAAATAATTTTATTCATTACACTTTCAGGTACCTGAAGCGCTCAGAAATAATGTTACATCATCCAAGAAAGCCCAGGTTAAATGGCAGGGAGCACTTTCAAAAAGCTTATACACTTGATTTTTTTTAATAATCAGTACATTTGGTGTACCTAATGATGTCAATGTTGCTTTAATTCCTCCCCTGGTTCAATAGAGTCAAGGACTAAAGGCATATGACAATAGGACTGTAGGAGTAGTACAAAAGAAAAAGGGGCCCTCAATGAAATGTTGGACAAACTTATCCAAACATAGAACAAGCCATGCTTCGACATGGAGAAGTAAAATAAGCATAACAAACACATTGAAGAACTTGAATGTATTTTAGACAAAAAAACTTATGACTATTTTGATCTTCTAATTTACACAATGCTAGGTACCGGAATATTTTGGAGGCATATAAGAACTGCAGTCCCCCACCAAAAACAGCAGCCGAGGCCGCCCGACTAGTTGCAGCAGCTCTAAGCAGGATTCAGAGAGCTGATTTGGAGGTAACCTTATTTTTCCTGCCTTTTTACTTAAAATAATTGTAGGGACCGTACAAGACGAATGTATAGATTAGCAATGATATATATTTAAAACGCTTGAACATGTAAACTAACAAACCTATTTTATAAACTAGCATAGTAGGGATGCAAGCGGGTTTGTCTGCGCATCAGTAGTCCTCAGTTCATTGGTACAAGGTGTAGTTTAACTGTTTGAGTTAACCTTTGACCAATAATTAGTCCAGTAGTATATGAGTTATATACCATAAAATCAGTACAATTGAATTCGTATTTACAAGCATTTGCTAATGATTTATTATTTATAACTACTAATAAAATATGACAAGAAAATTACAGCCAAAGATTGATTTTGCATAGTAAAACTATACCTTATAAAAGAATGGTGTAACATTGGACAAAGATTAGAAACCCTAGGAAATTTACTACAATTTGCATTACACTATTAGTATTACTAATGGTTATGTTCAACTCATCCTATCCAAAAACAATGTTTTCTTCTCAGGGTTTTCTTGCATTTTACAACCTCCCGATCCCATCATTCTCTTCAGCATCAACATCCTCGGACCACCAACCATCCTCGCTACCAGAGGGCATACAGTTTGTGCTGAACACTTTGCCGGTCAGATGTGATAAACCATTGCAAACAAAACCCTTAACCAACGATGTCACATTTTGAACAATGTGTTACCTCAACTACTATTAGGTTCACAACAAGTGCATTGGAGATGGTGACGGATTTACTGCCTATGTTGACACAGCAGACCCGAGGGAGTCTGCGAATGTGCCACTAGAAGTCCATGAGATGGTGATTGAAAGGACTCAAGCACGCATTGATAGGGATTACCAGACGGCCGATGCTCTTCTTAGGAGCCTCAACGAAGCAGGATATAAGTACTCAAGCTGAACCTTCACAATCCTTTACATGTCATAAATGCATATATTATTTGAAATATATTTATGATTTAAAGTTTAGATATACTCAGTTACTTGGATAATAAACTAGATCTCATTAGTTGAAAATTTGGAAATGTTGTGATGCTTTAGCAATGCAGGAGTTTATTAAGTAATCGGGAAAATATCATTAACATATCTCATGGGAAAACAACTTTTTATATAATTGTTTTTTATGGAATCACCAAAAGCAAAACTTACTAAGAATTTTGATGAGTAGGATAATAACCATTTTAGGAGAAGAGATACTTGCAAAGAAATACATAATCGGAATGAGGTGAGCGTTTCTTCAAATTGAACTTGTGCATTCAGTAATACCTAGGAATATTGTTCTCAAGTGCATGTTCTTCATGACTTGAAGGGGCATCGATGCACCAGAGCTTAAAATGGCTAGTGGGAAGGAATCGAGGAATGCATTAGTGAAGCTAATTGGAGTGAAAAGGGTCACAATTTATGTGTATGGACATGACCAGTTTGGACGTTATGTGGGTGACATATATTGTGATAATGTGTTCATCCAGGTGAAACATGAACTATGTTCACACAACCTATGGTTTTACGGCTTCAATTCTGATGTGATCCATGTGTGTCTAGACTCTGGAGTCTTTCAGGAGCAAATGCTAAAGAGTGGTCATGTATGGCATTTCAAGACTTACGATAAGCGCCCAGAGTTTGCGCAGGTAAGAAATTCCATTGTACCTGAAATGCATTTATGAAACATCCCAAATTGTACTCTGAGAAAGCCTAGAGTATTCTTTTCGACGTGAACATCCTTGAGCTATGTCATTTGTCATTTAATTTTAAGGGCACATGTGTGATATGAACTATAAGCTATTGCAGTTTGTGTGCAAAATTCCGAATTTGCTGACCCTAGAAGTTTTTTACTAGCACTATGATATTTTGCAGTGGGAGAGAGAGGCAAGAGCTGCATGTCGAGAACTTTTTGCATCAGAGAACCCTGAGAAGCCATGGGACTGGAGAAGAGACCAACGAAACGCGAACATACCAGTCTACTGATTGGAACTGAACCATGAGTTTACAACTTTGTACAATTGCTACACATGAATCATGAATGCGTATCAAAAACCGAAAGCAAGAGTGTATTGTACATGTATGTGGAAGATAAAGTATTGTGAATTAGTATTGTACGTTCAATATTGGAGCTCTTGTGTTCTTATCCCTGTTATGAACATTACTACAAAAAGAATTTTAGGAGACATGTCCCCTGATTAATAGAGGCATGCATTTTTGGGAGGAACCTCTATAACTGGTCAGGCAGGTCTCAAGAAAATGCATGCCTCCTTTAATCATTTACGTAACCGAAGCATATGCAATAGAGAGCTAGAGGTATATGATTCATTGGCAAAAACCTTTACGAGGTACGGGTCTGCAAATTGTTCAAACATGTGAAGATTGCCACATGATAGCAGATGCAACTTCAAGCCCTAGAGCATGCATCATACGACGTTGATTTGTCACGCATGCCCTTGAAATGATGGGGCATGGTGTTGGACCCCTCCAAACAACGGTCTAGAACCTTCGCTCTGTAGTGGTAGCGGTAGAATATTTCATCAAATGTATTGATGCCAAAGCATTGTTAACTATCACCTCAACATCAATTAAAAAAGTAGTTCACGCAACAAGTTATATGCCATTTCAGTTCCCTAGAGCACTAACGATTGACAAAGGTACTCAGTTGACACTGGAGTCTTCATAGATATCATAGTGTTGAAATATAAGTGAATTGCCCACTCTTTTCGATTAGATTGAACTTTTGGATTGTGCTGGTCCTCAATGGATTGAGAATGTAATGGCCATGAAAATTTTAAAAAATTGAAAAATAGCAAAAGTGATTTTTTTTATCTACACGAGCCTTCCCTGTCGACTACATGAGCCTCAAGTACCCTCATCATGGCCTAAATTGACACCCCCCTAGTAGGTGTGGACTGGGTCAACCGATCAACGGAGGAAACGACCTAGGGGTGCCTCATTTTACTTAGCGAACAAGGCATGCAAGATGTAGATAAAAACAATGAATAATCTTATCTGACTAAATTTCCTTGTCGTCGACATCTGTATCGGATCATGGGAACTGATTTGTAACCCTACGCTCCTGAACTATATAAAGAGTGGTAGAGAGCGCGGTAACATGAACACGCAACACCAATGCCCCTGCAAACCCATGCACGCGGCACACAAGCAACTTAATAAAGCTTTCATCATAGACTGGGTGTAGGGTACTCTGTATCTAAACCAGTATACACTCGTGTGTTGTGTGTAACCCATCTGACCTATGGCATGTGATTTATTGGATTAATCGTCCGAGGTCAAAAACACGGACACCCCTAAAGCTCTTTTGCTCATTGCCATGCATATAAATTAGATAGTTCTCCATAATTACACATAGGCACCCACAGTTTGTGTGAAATAACTAGTATGGTTCGAAAATAAAAAAACTGAATAGAGCGATATGATGTTTCCTTTTTTGGTGCTAACAACTGCCCCAATTTTTGGGATGTTATGCAAATAAAACGAATAGAGAAGAAACCATCCATTTGCATTACCAAGTGTTTACTTGAACAAAAAATGTGGATTTGGGATAGAAACATTATTTCTTAAGAGCACACCACTACCAAGGAGTGATGTATACAATACTATTACCCTATAGTTTCAATTCAACATATTGCTCTTACTTACATAACTTTATTTATTGCTAAGTTGAGTAATAGTCATAGGCCTGCTGGTGTAGGTAACAACACCAAACGGATCTAAAGGACATGATTGCTATGTTAACCTTTAAGCGGTGCCTTCTGCAAGCAAAGTATATGGAACCATTACATCAGACATTGTTGAAGATACCAGAAAGTGCTTGTATACGAAGATACTAAAAGTTGGACATCAAGCTACTCAGATTTCTAGGACGACAATGGAGGAGTCTCAGAATACTTCCAGGTGTTGCCCATCTGAAGATATCGGTCTCCCTGGACATCACTAGCAGCAGCATATGACTCGAGTTCGTTCATTTCCTCTAGTGTGAGCTTCACAGATAGTGCTCCAATATTCTGGTTCAAATTTTCGACTTTTGTTGTGCCAGGTATGGGGCAAACATCGTTGCCTTGATGGCAAACCCAAGCTAATGCAAGTTGTGATGGCGTACATCCTTTTCTTGTCGCCATTGAATTAACTCGCTCAAATATTTGGGCATTCTTGTCAAGATTCTCCGGTTGAAATCTTGGGAAAATCTGTACAACAATGAAATTCTCAATGAAAAGATGCAACTAACCATGCATATTACTATTATTACTAATTAGAGGCCTACAACGGATCCTCCAACAGAAAGATTTGGCCATCACTATATAAGACTCTAATCACTATCGATAATAAGAGCAATAAGATCTACTTTGTTTCCTAAACAAAATTGCCCCATTTGCCATTTAACCCTTAAAAATCTATGTCTGAATCACACACATTGTACCTCCATTACGAGACAATCTAAAGTAAACACCTAAATTTGCATCTAAATTACCCACCCTACCATTATGATTGATAATCTAAATAACCCTTAAATTCCACCAAAATTACTCCACTTGTAATTGTTAAAAGTAATCCGAAATGTCTCCCCAAGATACATCTAAGCTACCAAGATATACTATTATGAAGAAAAAAATTCAATGACTACAGTTGTAGCTATATATGTTTCTAAGTTACCTACTTCGGTCATTATTCTTACACAGAAAAACTTAATAAAAGATAAACATACATGTTGTGTGATCGTACAAATCAAAAGATATGTCAAAATTACCATTAAAATTACCAAGTGCTATGCGATTTATAAATCAAAAGATGAATAAATTAGTCTGGAGATTATGGTTAGTTAGCTTGCAATCAGAAATTCGGAATACAAGGAAATTTCCAGCTCGAATCAGCCTGAAAAGGAGAATTTACAAGCAAAGTTGTATGTAGGTAGCAGTAATACGACGTCACCTTCCGGGCATCTTGTTCTGATAGCGAGTCGATCAGCTTTGCCCCACCAGACAAGAATCCTCTGCCTAGTGGACTGTAAGCCACTATCCCGATTCCAAGTTCTCTGATGACATGATCAGGGGTAATAACGTCAGAAATAAATCAGGAAAACAAGCTTACTACTACTGCTAGGCTGCTAGCTACGTCACAATCTCACTGGTGATTAATTCAAGTATTATGCTAGTAAAATGAGCACGGAATTAAATAAAAAAAAAACCTGCAAGTAGGGATTATATCTTCTTCCACATCTCTAGACCATATTGACCACTCCAGCTGCACGGCGGTGATTGGATGAACCGCGTGAGCTCTTCTGATTGTGGAAGCAGAGGCTTCAGATAAACCTATGTATTTTATCTTCCCTTCTTCAACTAGCTTCTTGAGCTCAGAAATCTAGCAACAACGCATTCAAAAACTAAGTTTAGTATTCTACTAAATTATAGTTTTAGTACAGTGCCATTACCTCATTCTCTTGTTAGAACGAACGAAAGACAGGAGCAGGAGGACAGTACACACCGTGACTTCAATGGGTACCCTGGTGTCGATGCGGTGTTGGTAGTAGAGATCGATGCAGTCGACGCCGAGCCGCCGGAGGCTGCCCTCGCACGCCGCCCGCACGTACGCCGGGTCGCCGTGGACCTCCTGCTTGCCGTCGACGTACAAGATGCCGAACTTGGTGGCCAGCTGCACCTTCTCCCTGATAACCCCACCGCCGGCGGCGTCCTTCAGCTGCAGCGCCTTGCCCAGGAGGAGCTCGTTGGTGTGCGGGCCGTAGAAGTCGGAGGTGTCGAGGAAGGTGACGCCGGCGGCGATGGCGTGGTGGATGAGCCTCACCATGTCCGGCTCCGGCTTGGGCGGGCCGTACGCGAAGGACATGCCCATGCAGCCCAGGCCCAGCGCCGAGACCTCGAGCCCCTGCGACCCCAGCTTCATGCGCGGCACCACCACCCGCAACGACACTACCGCAGCAGCAGCAGCAGCAGCAGCAGCAGCAGCCATGGCGATCGATAGAGATGGTATGGTTCTCCTTCTGCTCTCTCTACTGCTTCAGCTGCTAGCTGCTTCAGAATGTTCAGTGACACGAGCTTGTTCGTCCCAGAATTTATACTAGTGTGTTGGGATCGAGTAGCAGCCTGAACCTGAACCTGAAGTGGCTGTAGTCAAGGTCGGTGTGCGTCACTCACAGTAGTGTCGCTGCTGGGCTGACTACGTCACTGTCTACGTGGGATTGCATACACATGTAAGAGCTTACGTCACAGACGACCTGTTGGAGAAGAATGGATGATGGATTCCTCTTCCTGCTCATGGAGCGCGCCAGCGCTAGCTCGACGTGTGAGTGTGACAGCACCGTCTCCCAGGCCCCAGCCACTCTTCCTTTTCCTTCTCACGTCCTATATATTCACTTGCTCCTACCACCTATATATGCTATGAACACTAAATTCTTCTTCAGCTCTTTGCTATGACTTTCTTAATTAGAATAATTTAGCTACAAAACTTATTCAATATGCCGTTCTGATACTATTTTTTTTTTTAAAAAAACAAATCTGACATCTGAATGGATGGAGTAAACTGGAAAATTTAGCGGCATTTAGCCATTTTCATTCTGAAGTCCATTACATACAGATGAAAAAAAGAGCACCAACACAGACAGAACACTACCTCCTCATTTCAGCAGAAAAGGATAGAGTGTGGGAGAAGAACTGTGTGTGTGTGATAATGGGATATTAACGTGTCGATCTAATGGCTTATACTCTGCCTCTCCTATGCTCCAATCACAACTCTAGCTAACTACCACCCTCTCCCAAATTATAGGTTGTTTTGGCTTTCCTAGATACATAGCTTTTGCCATGCACCTAGGATCCTAGATATACCATCTATCTAGATATGTAATAAAAGTTGTGTCTAAAAAAGTCAAAACGACCTATAAATTAGAATGGACGGAGTAGGATTCTACATGGAGATGCTTCCAACTCTCCATGCTACTAAAAAATTGCAATATTTATACTGCCAATAATAGTCATTGCAAGGCTATGTAATCTAAAGAACACAAGACGACTCAAGGAATAATGGTCATCAAGTCTATAGCCACCCTCACTGAACGAAGGTCCTAAGGCCTCCTACTCTTGTTTCTTTTTCTTGTCCACCACTTACCGCTCAATTTTTTAATAATGGAATTAAGGTTCCGGCTTCAGCCCTCTTCGAAGAAGAGGCATCAGTCCACACTTAATTATTACAAAATAAAAAAATGACTTGCACACCTAGAAGTTCCAAGCTTAAGAATCGATCTCAAAAATAAAAGGCCATTCATCTGAGTTGAAGAAGTGTAGCGCCCTCCACTCTGGTAGACGACATGCCTGCGTCATAGCCTCCATTTGGTCCTCATGTGTGCTGCAACTGAGCCCAAAACCAAAAGTCAATATGTTGCCTTAAATAAAACGCGCACAAATGATTTTGGTGTCCGTTTATTAAAAATCGAATCATTCCTAGTGAGCCATATTGACCAATAAATGGCTGCAACACCTATTAATAATGGTGAGTTTTGTTTCGGACCACCTTGTTTTGACCAATTATTGAATAAATCTTCAAAATTGGCTGTCGAATACCCAAGATTATAAAAGTGGCATGCCAAAGAAATTTAGCATAATGACATTGAAAGAATAAATGACGAATAGATTCCAACTCGAAGCAAAATTCACAAGTTTTCCTACCTTGCCAATTCCTCTTAGCTAGATTTTCTTTTGTTAAGACGAATCCCTTCTTTAGGTACCACATAAATAATTTTACCTTTAGCTAGATTGTCTTTTGTTAAGATGAATCCCTTCTTTAGATACCACATAAATAATTTTTTACCTTTAAAGAGACCTTCATATGCTAAATCTCCTGAGTAACCCTAATACCATTATTAATTTGGTGTACATTGACCTTACTGTGAAAGAACCATTTTTGTTTAGGCCCAGCAAGGGCGGATCTAGAATTGGCCCAAGGGGGGCTAAATAACAGAAAGAGACTTCGAGTTGGGTTTTGATGGAGCTTTTGGGCTGAGCTGAAGACGAGTTGGGCTGACCTGCTCCTTGTATTTGTGGCCCAAGGGGGCTGCAGCCCACCCAGCCCCACCTGAATCCGCCCCTGGGCCCAGACAAATGTATCCATACCCACACATTTAAATTGATATGCATAACGCTAGCCACTAGATTTAAGAGAGAATTTCTTAACACCAGACAAATGACCCGTTCCTTTCTTGACCCTCAAAAAATTTTCGTTCCCTATTTGACACCGAGTTCAACTTTCATTCCTTACATGACACTCCGTTGCATTTTCCATCCGTACATTAATCTATCGATTTTGCCTTCTTCCCACCTTTCTCCTCCTCTCCTCCTCCAGTCAAATTTCCCTCTCGTCTCATCCTTTCCCTCCTGAATTTCTCAAAGCCTGGTGGTTTCCCAACCAAACGTCCTCCCAAAATCTCTCTCCTCTCTCCATCTCTCTCCTCCAACTCTCCATTCTAGCCCCTCTCCCTCCCGAACGCCTCCCTTCCCATGGCGTATTTCTCCCTTGATGGCGGCCTGGATTAGAAGTGGCGACGACGGTGGCGCTGGTGGAGCAGCGCGCATCGACAGGTTGCTGGAGTCCGAAATCTGGCCTCGGGGCTCGTGGATTCGCCTCGGGCACGCGATTTATTTCCAGCCTCAACTCTTGTCAAATCGGGGCGCGATCACTTCGTTAATCCACCCACGGATCTGGCGAGAACAACCACGACCGCGGCACGGCGAGGCAAGGCCGGATCTGTTGGTGGGGGAAGTCGGATTCGGCTCGCGGTGGAGGATGCACCTCTTCACCTCTGGCAGCTTTAGAAGTGAAGTGCATGGGCTCGACAGGTGCTGGGTGGCGGGAGGGCGACTAGTCCTCACAGGAGAGGCTGTGGACTAGGGGAGGAACGGTGGCTGGAGGAGGAGAGGAGGGAGAAGGGTGGTGGGCCCCACAGGGGCAAAATCATCTTTCCACAACGCAGTTAACGGTGGCCGGATGGAAAATGCAATGGAGTGTCATGTAAGGAATGAAAGTTGAACTCGGTGTCAAATAGGGAACGAAAATTTTTTGAGGGCCAAGAAAGGAACGATCAGTAAGCTTATTTACCATTAAAGCTCTTTTGAAGGAAATATTTAATGGGTTTGAGCCCAGTACATCAGCCATCGTTGCATTCTTCTGTCTTACGATATTGAACAAATTTGGGTAATGGAATTTCAAAGCCCGGTGGTTTCCCAACCAAACGTCCTCCCAAAATCTGATTTGGTTCCCACTTACTAGCTTAAATCTTCCTAAGCTCAGAAATTGTTCTTTGACTCCTGTTAGAACAAAAGTGAGAAATCGCCAGGTTGCTTCGAAACCTGGCTCAAGGTTTTATTTTTTAAGTATTTATTTCGTATCAACTCTTGCCAAATACCCACTTCGTTACATAAAGAGAACAACCACTTACCGCTCATACAAGGCCGGTCCAACCAGCAGTTTCCTCTTCACCTCTGGCAGCTTTAGAAGTGAAGTGCAGGAAGCAGGTGCTTTGCAGAGAGTGACTAGTCCCCACAGGAGAGAGCTCGAATCGAAGAAGGAAGGCAGGGGAACGAAGGGAAAGGATCCATCTCCATCGTCTCCATGGGAAACATCATCCGGTGCCTCACGGGAAGAGACCATGACCATGGTGATGATGATTACTACCCCTACTACCGTACATCCTCAAGGTGGGAGGATGAGCCTGCAGCAGCCTCTCGGCCTCCTCAGCAGTCTCTAGGTCCCATCCATGGAGGCGTCAGCGTCACGCCGGCGGCCACCGCCTCCCTGGCCCAGGACCTGCAGCTCAACATCGAATCCACGTCCATGGTAAACATGCAACCCACTACGCCTGTACCTGCTTTCAGTACATTACTAGTGAATTTTCCAAGTGATATTATGAATGAAATGGATGTCAACATGCACCGTCAAGGCGCCAACCTATGTAAAATTGAGTTATTTTTAATCTAGGATTATTTTGGTCTGCTAGCTAGGAGGAGAAGGTTTAGTTTCCTGCGTGATGCGCGCTTGTGTTAAATTTTTTTGGATGCAAACATGACTAGTTTACCTCGCTCTTGCAACTTCTCTGAACATTTGGCCTTTTCTACTCTTCTTTACAATAAAGACATGAACATAATGCTCTACACTGTAAACTTTGCCGTGATACTGTTTGGTTGTAGGGATATCTACTAATATGCTGCAGCAGTAGGGATATTGTGACTGCTAGAATATTACTGTATGGAAACAGTTGCAAATCTTAAGATTTTGATGGCATGTCATGGCAATTAGATTAATTTCCTTTGCCCCCAATTTCTCCCCTTCTTTTCCTAAAATGAGATTTAATTTGCATAACAAAGGGAAAGACTTGCATAACAAAGGGAATTTTGTTTTGTCTCTGTCATCTTTTCAGATTCCTGAAGGGCTCAAACGGCATGTCACATCATCCAAGAAAGCACAAATTAAGTGGTAGGGAGAGAACTTTTGAAAAGCTTATATATGCAGCTGATGGTTTTTCTAATATTTGCACATTGATTCTGTGTACGTACTGATAGCAAATGTGCTTCCATTCCCCTCAGAATTATTCGATACAGTTAGTCTTTACCATAGCACCAAAAAAAGAGTTCCAATACGGAGTTGGATTTTATAAGTTGGGGGTCGTTTTCAAATTGACTTAAGTTTCAAGGGAATCACTCAAATGCTTTAATTTTGGCATTTCTTATGACAGGGACCTCCAAACTTATCAAATATAACACAGATGAGCAAAGCTTTTGCTTGCTTAATTCTAACAAAAAGGTACCAACAAACAATGGGCGGAAGAAAATACTTTCAGTTCTTAACTAATGTCGTTAAGAGCTGAGAGTCCAAATATACATCAGCTTTGTCAAGACATTAACTTCTTTGAAATGTGCACTAGTTTTATTTGAGCTGCGCGCTACCTTGATTTAGTTTTACTTGTGGTGTAGGACATCAACAAGGTTTCTAGTAACGTATTTGAACGTTGATTTTTCTAGTCATATGCTAGCAAACTTATTGAAAATATAATATACCATAGAGTAAACTTGATAAGAAATCTAACTGGTATAGTTTTCACTTTTCAAGTGACGTATCCAAATATTGTTGCTTCTGTGGTGACAACCTAACAAAGCTAACAGCACGCATTCTAGTATGTCAAGTAAGAAAGCATATGCGTGTAGCATATAATTAACATCTTTCTTTTCTAATGTATAAGATGGTTTCTGAGACAAGCAGAATCAATACAATTTGTATTTCAGATTGAAAAAGTAAAGGAATTGCATTATATCTCTCTATTTGCACAAAAAAAAAACAGGTACAAGGACATGGCAGAGGCATACAAGGATATGAAAACCCCACCAAAAACACAAGCTGAAACTGCCCTTACCAGGATCCAGAGAGCAGATTTGGAGGTAGCTATCTATCTGTATAACTAGATTAGACCACTGAAAGGTGAAAGCTGGTCGGGGCAGGAACCTTACCAGCGCTTGCTTCTTTAGCATTTCATCATATATATGTTTAACTCGTTCTATTGAGAAGCAATTCTTTCCCGACACCTCAAATCGCAAAGTTATTATTCTCACCAATGGCTATAGATGTTCATTTTTTCTGTAATGCTGTTTTCTCCTCAGGATATATTTTCATTTTACAATCTGCCGACCGCATCACTCCCTGTACCAGACTCAAACCATCACCCGACACCGCCACCAGAGGGTGTGCAGTTTGTGCTGAATACTTTGCCGGTCAGATGATATATATATATATATATGTTTAACCACTGCAAAGAAAGGCTTACTGGCAACACCAAGTTTCTAAACAATGCCTTGAATTAACATTTGCTAATCATTGCCTCATCTCTTGCAACTATTGTCAGGTCCATAACAAGTGCATTGGAGATGGTGATGGCTTTACTGCTTATGTTGACACAGCAGACCCAAGGGAGTCCACAGATGTGCCACCAGAAGTGCATGAGATGGTGATTGCAATAACTCAAGCACGCACTGATAGGGATTATCAGACAGCTAATGCTCTTCAAAGAAGCCTTGACAAAGCTGGATATAAGTACTCTAACTGAGCTTGATAATCCTTATATATCATAAATTTATTTAGCACAGTACTTATTTTGTTTCAAATTTCAGTAGAAGTTGGATAAAATACTACTAGAACTGCTATTGTAGATTACCTTCGAATTTTTTATAGATCACAAGCTCATAAAAACTACAGAATTAAATGCAAGACACAGTACCATTCAGGTTTACTGATGGAGCTTAATTCACAAAAAATACAATAATAGCATATCTAAAAAAATGATTGGAATCATGCACTATGCTGTTTACGCATTAAATGAACTGTTGCAAACCAAAAAGAAAAAAGAAGGAAGAAGAGCTATAATATAATGAAAATGCTGGTCAAAGTTACATCATTGTGATCCTACTCATATACATGGTTTATTTGAAATCACTGGAAGCATGACTTACAACAATTTTACTGAGCAGGGTAATAATCATTTTAGGCGAAGAGATCCTTGCAAGGAAATATAGAATCCGAATGAGGTATATATGTTGCTCTAAAAATTGCACCTACATCTAATAATAACTGGAAGTACTGTTCCGAGTTCATATCCATGAGTTATAGGGGCATTGATGCACCGGAGCTTAAGATGCCGTATGGAAAGGAAGCAAGGAAAGAATTAATGAAGCTCATTGGTGGGAAAAGTGTCACGATTTATGTTTATGAGCAAGACCAATTTGGACGCTACGTGGGTGACATCTATTGTGATAACATGTTTATCCAGGTAAAATAGAAACTTCTTTTTCTTAAAAAAAACTATTTAGTAGCTCATGTCTTCTGATTGATTTTACTGCTTTGGTTATTAATTAGTATTATTGTGTGTCTCTGAGTCATGTAGGAGAAAATGCTGAAGTGTGGTCATGTTCATCATTTCAAGAAGTACGACAAACGCCCAGAGTTTGAAAACGTAAGAAATTTCCCCATACCTAAATGCATTTGTGGGTTTAAAGGCACTCTGAGGAACCTAGAGTATTCTTTTCTATCTGAATATCCTTGAGCCACGCTTATCAAATTTTCTGGGAAAATGGGTGGAACAATAGCTAAACAAGGGCTATACGATATCATGCATGATCATCCAAACTGAGAACTATATCCAGATACGATGGCTTACAGGACATATGGTTATGCCCATAGAAGTTTTTCACTTACATTTTGAATTTTTACTTTGCAGTGGCAGAAAGAGGCAAAATCTACAGGCCTAGGACTCTGGGCATCAAAGAAGCCCCCTCAGAAGCCATGGGATTGGAGAAGAAACAAGCGACATGCAAGACACAGTGCCATTCAGGTTTACTGATGGAGCTTTCGAGCTCTCAGGGATCTGACAGCCACGTAGTTTGGTACTGAGGTTCTTAAGTAGCTTGCTGCAAATGAATGTGTATCAGTAACCAAAAGCCAAAATGTACAGTTGATGTTTGTAGAAAGGGAAAACACCTTATTGGAGGTTCTCTCTTCTGCAATGATAATGTACCGATGACTTGTAGTCCACAAGAACCAAGTGGTGAATTTGTAACAAGAATGATGAACTAATTCATGCCATTACAACCAAGCCTATAGAAACCAAATGTCTGAAATACCAGCATCTGAAAGCAACACACATTGTAGAAACTTGACATGTGAAATGGCATCGGTTTTGGAGTAAAAGAATATAAAACAGGCAATATAGTTTTAAAAAATCACAGTTCAATGGGTGGCAACACCCTTGAGAAATAAAATGTATTTAATATAAAACCATTTACGATGCCTAAGCCCTTTATTCACAATCTGACACAAACAGAGAGGGGAAAGCATAAAATTAAGCAGTATCTTGGCCATTTTAATTTCTGAAGTAGATTACAAATAAAATACAAGAGCAGAAATCAGAAAACTATAAATTCCTTTCAATGAAATGAATAGGAAGGGAACTACATACCAATCTGCCATGCATTGTGCTAGTAACTATGCTCCAGTCCCAGAGCTGACTACAGTTTTACATCAGATGAAAATGCAGATGTTCCAACTCTAGATACTGTCCAATATTGCAAAAAAGAAGTCATCTGTATACTACCAATAGTCATTGCAAGAGCAATAGCCATCTCTAAAGCAATGAAATCGATTGTTATCTCGAACAATAATTTCGCGACAGGTTATCCTTGATATGAGCTTGATGGCGGTGTGGCAGTCACTGCAAACTCGGAGGTTTTTGGTGACCCTAATGGTCTCTCCTGGTTCAGTAGTAAGGAGGCTGAATGCAATGGCAATTTTCTCACTGTGATGCACAAGCGTGTGTTCCTTCTCCTCATTTTCAATGTCAAACATCACCACCTCAGTAGTTGGTTTATAGCCTATGGCCTTCATTTCCATGCCTAACTGATCGAGCTTTGCATAGATTTGATCTGAGAGGGGATGTGATTTGTCTCCAACATGGAACTCATGGACCTTACCATCAAGTTCAACCCAGCTAGATGCAGGGACCTTCTCGACCCCCTTTGCCTTCATTTCCAACCTGAGCTTTGCGGCATCTTCCCATCTTCCACTGTTAGAGTATATGTTAGAAAGCATGACATAATTTCCAGAATTCCAAGGCTCCAATTGGATGAGCTGCTTCAACACATGTTCAGCAAGGTCAGCGTTCCGGTGGATCTTGCAACCACCAAGGAGTGCTCCCCATACAACAGCATTTGCCTCCATTGGCATGTCTTCAATTAACTGATGAGCCTCCTCCAGCAACCCCGCACGACTGAGCAGGTCAACCATACAACCATAATGCTCAATCTTAGGGCTTATACGATACAACTGACTCATGTTACGAAAATAGCGCTGGCCATCTTTTACAAGGCCACTATGTGTACAGCTGCAGAGCAATCCCATGAAGGTATTATCATTCAGTGTCATGCCTGACTTCTTCATCTGGCCAACAAGCGCAAAGGCAATCTTCTCGTGGCCAGTCATGCCGAGCCCCAAGATCATTGCATTCCAAACAATGATATCTCTCTTCCTCATCTGCTGGAACACCATCCATGCCTCACCTGTGCCCCCGCACTTGGCATACATATCAATCAGTGCAGTACCAAGGACTAGGTTGTCAAGAACTTCATCCCAGTGCAGCATCCCAACTACCCGCCGCCCCAAATCCAGTGCACCTAACCTTGTGCACGCTGAGAGCGCCCCAGCCACTGTATAACAATCTGGTCTCATTCCCTCCACCTGCATTGCGAAGAACAGTTCCAGAGCCTCCTGTGGATGCCCGTTGGAGGCGTATCCCCCAACCATTGCGGCCCAGGCCACCACATCCTTGTTCTTCATCTTGTCAAACACTTCCCTAGCCTTGTCCATTTCCCCACACTTGACATACAAGTCCAACGCCGCAGTTGCCACAAACACGTTCCCAGCAATCCCCTCCTGCTCTGCCACCCTCCACACAGCTTCCCCATTCACCAAATCAGCAACTCGAGCGCACGCAGTGAGGACCCGCACGGCCGTGAAGCTGTCAGGGCGCATGCCACTCGCAAACGCCCTCCTTGCAACCCCAACGGCTTCCTGAGCGCGCCCCGCGTCCATGTACGCGGTGATGAGCGCGGTCCAGGAGACGGTGCTGGGGTGGGGCATTTCGTCGAACGCCTTCTGGGAGTCGAGCAAACGGCCGCATTTCGCGTAGAGGTTGAGGAGGGAGGTGAGGACGTGGGGGTTGGCATGGGAGGGGAGCTTGAGGGAGCGGGCATGGAGTTGCACGCCGGCAGTGAGCGGGTCGGGGAGCCGGGAGGCAGCCTTGATCGCGAAGGGGAAGGTGAGGTGGGAAGGGTTGGGAAGGAGGGAGTGGAGGCGGAGGGCGTGGAGGTGCAGGCCGCAGGAAGAAACGGCGCGGAGAAGGAGCTGCGATAGGTCGGTGTGGAGGAGGTCCAGGCGGAGGAGGCGGCCATGGATGAGCTTGACGGTGAGCGGTGGGAGGTGGCTGCTGGGGCTGACGCCTGTGAGGAGGACACGGCGGATGGCCTCGTCGGCGGCGGTGACCGACATGAAAGCGCCAAACGAAACGGTTTCTCCGTTAGAGCATCTCCAGCTGCCGCCGTGGCTGTTGCCGTTGCGGCCGTCGAGGAGGCGGTCGAGGCCCGCTGGCGCTCTTCCTCGTCCGTCTCGAGGGTAGTGGGGATCGGGGCGTGGAAAGGAGGACGGCGGATCTCGCCAGGGAGGCGAGGTCGGCGTCGGACCTCGCGGCGGAGCGGGAGGGCCGCCGAGAGGGCACGCGGCGATGCGGCGGCCGAGAGTGGAGAGGAGAGGGAGAGGGAGACAGAGCCTGCTAGGCGGGCGGAGACGGCTTGCGGCGGGGATCTATAATAAAAAAAAATTCTCAAATCCTTCACGAAATAAATCTGAGGCCCTGCTGAGATTCCAAAAATTTTCATCTCAAAATGTCATATCGAATTTTGCATAGTGATCATGAGATACATGTAGTCTTAAAAATCAGACGAAAAAAAACTAATCTTGTCATTTAAATGAAAAATCGTTTAAGAATGAAACTTTCTCTCACATCAAATCGGTCAGCAGTAATAATTTACGGTCGTATACGATCGTTTCAGCCCTAACCAAACACTTAACTCGTTAAGCTTGAAAATAAAAATCTTGGCTTGTTCGCTTGTTTAGCCAAACAATTCAGTAGCCAAACCCAAAAAAAAAATTGAGAACTAAACACGCCCTTAGTCATCAGTCGTCACCGAATTTCGTCCCAATTGGTGAGGCCCGAGATAAATCAAATTAGCCAAATAATTTCGGCTTAATTTGAATTTTCAGCCCAGTATAGAGTACAAAAGCCCAATGATATTTTCTCCAGTATAAAAGTGCATTCTATAAACCCTAGTTTTTTCAAAAATTTTCCTTTCCTTTCTCACCTAGTGGTGAGTGGTGACTACGCAAGCGAAGACAGATCAGGCTCTCGGTCGCTCCTCCCCACTGCCATTCTTTCCCGTTGCCCTCCACCATCTTTTCCTCAAATCCAACAGCTCAAACTTGGCTACAATCCCTATCCATGGAGTTTCAATGCTATCAAATGGACAGTGGCCGTGTGCGCAGTGGGTTCGGTGGAAGCAGCCGTGGTTCGCTGGTGTTTTTTGACAGGTCAACTTGGTTGAATCACGGCCTAAAATTTTCGAATTTCATCCAATTCGGTAGCCCCTGAAATTTTTTAGTTTTGAATCATGAAACCATGCAACCACCATAACAAATACATGGTGCAGGAAAACCTTTGTAGCCAGTGAAGGAGGAACATTTGATTTCGCAACAAATCCTTTAGGGAGGGGAACAACATCTACCGATGCCACAAACGTCGAATATAATGGAGAACCAAGGTACAAAGACATCACCATTCCTAGGCAGTGCCTTCACCCGAAAGTCCCCTCACCTAAGACCGAAACCCTGCCATGATGTGCATCATCACAGCTACACTGAACTTGCCATCCCATGCGAGACAAAAAAACAAGCCGTCGAGGCCGGCAATGATCATAGCTACCTAATCAAGTCGTTGTTGCGTCGAAATAGCCGATGACGATGCAAGCACGAGCCATCGGACGTTGGCGACAAACACCAGGAAGAAAAAGCCTCGCGGGCCGCGCGCCATCGTCGCTGTCGCACGCACCTACGGTTACCGATTCCCCTCTACGATGTAAAATATCTCTTCTCACCATCCCCATAGTGTATGAGACAAATGTATGCATTTCGATTAGTGGCGTATTCTATGGTTACGATTCTACTAGTTTTGTCTTTTTGATTCCGTCGAAAATCGATTTTACGGTATAGGCGCTTATGACCTCCCCTAGTGACAGCGCGGCAGGAATAGGACGGACGATGGGTGGCTCGGCGGCGACACAGGGGCATGTGTTCATTTGATGAATGCTTTTCGAATTTTTAGATTTACTGCCTACCCTACTTATTTAAACTTTTACATTAATGTATTTTATTAAAAAAATAGGGATTTGCTATTTTCCAGGTGTATGAAAAATAGTATTTGTTCAGACAATGGCTATGAGTCATGAGATGAAGATCTAACAGATCAAATGTACGAATCTTGAAGCAAGATCAAAGGATCAGGTTATCGCCTGAACCAAAGACGGAGTTTTAGACCTGTGGTTTTTAGGAAAAGTGAAAAAAAATGGTCAGAGAAGTTTCATTTATGGTAAAATGAGAATGAATTGTGATCTGAATAGAGGAAGTACAGTGGCAATCTATCCATCTACACTTGAATTAAAAAATTCCCTAAAGAAATTCATGTACAAGCCAAAACACATTACATCACCTTTTGTACATTCGTGCTTGTTCACTTTTTCACCTGTTGTTAAATCCTCACCGGCGCCGGCGGGTCAACGGTAACTACACACTCAATACCATCGCGTGCCTTGTCGGCCGTCAATGGCGCGACGCACCCCTCCCTCTCCAGAGGCGCCATCGTTGGCTTTTCCTCCGCCGCCGCGTCCTCGTCGCTGCCCCTCACGTGGTACAAGCTGCCATCCTCCACGTCGTACAAGTTGCCCGTCCTGACCTCCTGCGCCAGCGCGCACGGCGCACAGAACAGCCATTTGACATAGTCCGCCACGGCCGGCCGGTCGCCGCACATGGACCGGTCAGCCGGCAGCCCGAAGCGCCTCCGCATCTGCGCGCGCCAGAAGCCCCCGTACGTGAGGCCGAGCACGGAGAGCAGCGCGCCCGTGGCGCCGACGAGGTACCCCAGCGTGGGGTCGTGGATGTTGAGCGCGGCGACCGCGAACACCAGCACCGGCGCGGCGCAGAGGAGCGCGAACGTGAAGACGTGCACGTACATGTTGCCCATGCCCATGCGCTCCATGTTCCACCCGAACACGCAGAACGCGCACGTCAGGGACAGCGCCGCCACCGTCGGGTCGTCGGTGAGGTCGAACAGCCCGCCGGCCCACTCCGGCCTGGCGACCGCTACTCTGCTAGCGCTGCACTGTGCCTCCTCGTTGGCCATCGCCGCATCTTTCACCGCGACGGCCTCGTCGTCGTTGTCGGTGGATACCTCCGGGAGCTGCACGATCCTTCTGCCGAGCGGGCCGTAGACCATGTAGAGCGCGGCGGCGACGGGGGCGGCGAGCCCGAACCCCATGCAGAAGTTGACGGCCCAGTCGGGGCGCGTGTCGCTGCTGAACGCCCAGAAGAGCGCGCAGTAGGCGTACTGCGCGAAGCACGTGGCGTGGAGCAGCAGCAGCACGACGGCGACGTGGAGACGCTCCCTCCTTGGCCCGGCGGCGGCGTTCTTGCAGTAGACGCCGCGTAGCTCGGCAGCGTTGGCGTCGCGCCACCGGAGCAGGAGCGCGAGGTGGTGGAAGAGCCGCGGGTGCTGGTACACGCACATGATGGTGAAGAGCGCGTTGAGCACCTGGTTGGCCACCTCCGTCCACCGCCGCCGCCGGGACGCGTCGGGCACCGCGGAGTTGAGCGCCCCCGTCATGAGCAGGAACACGAACGCGACGCCCGCGACGACGAAGGCGAGCCACACGAGCAGCGCGGCGTTCGTGGGCCGCCGAGCCCAGGCCTTGCACCGGGCGCGCAGGGCGCGCCAGTCCACGGTGCGCACGAACGCCGGCGCGCGGAGGGATAAGAGGCGGGCGTAGGCTGCCGGTGCGTAGGCGGCAGTGCGCGCGCGGACGGTAGCGACGCGGCGGAGGACGGCTTGCGGGGCGGTAACGCCGAAGCGGTGCAGCCATACGTCCTTGGAAGGCGCCGCCCTGAGGAAGTCGAGGAACCTCTCCTTCGCCTTGCCATGGGGTTCGACTTGCTTGCCTGATGTCTCGTGTGACTCCATGGTTGCAAGCTTCTCCTTGTCCATCAGAGCTGCGAGGGTGATGATCCCTCGAGCTTCCATGATCTGAAGCTACTAGTTGTACTAGTTAGTTGCAGGTGTTCAACATATATACCCAGTGCATGATATGATTTGGTTAGGGTTATTTTAACTGTAACGAAAGGGATTAGTAGCTTGGTATGCATTCTTTCTGGTAGAAGAGTGCAGTATTGACCCATGACCCCTGTCAAATTTGGCAGGTTGCTGCTGAAACTTCAACCCGGTCTTGTTGCTCGTGCTTGAAACCGTCAGAAGATTTCAGCAGAGAATAGCACTGAAACTGGAAAGTCAAGACGGGCAGGCACAGTGAATGGACCAATTCAATTCAGTCTCGAGTGCACTGTGTATGCATTCAGGTTCATAGATATGCAGCTCTTGGCTCTTGCATTACTGATGTCATAACAGACTTCCGGGAAGATACTGGATGATGCAGAATATTCATATCATCAGTGAATTAACTTTGGCATGCTGTCAATATTCAGTTGAGGCTGCACTGGACGGCCGTTCAGACTGGACAAAGCTACGTCCAAATGTATGGGAGAAACCGAGAAAGACCATTCTAACAAATACATGATTAGTGTGGATGCTATCTAGACCATTTGAATCGACTTGGTACACCAAAAAAAAAAGTTTGATAACATGTAATCAGGACATCCAAACACAAAAAAAGGAAACATGTGATAGATGCTTTTCAGCACACCATGTGAGACTTCAGAGTTCAGTATGCTATTTACTCTGAAGGTCTTCAGATTTAGACACAAAAAAGGACATGAATAGTGATAATCAGATTTTATAAGTTCACAAAAATAGGTGCCAAACCAGCGTCTGATAAATTCATAGACATACTCAACTCTATTTTGTTCTGCTCTGCTCTTTATAGAATTATGAAATTATGAATAGGTACACAAGAAAATCATGTGCCCAGGCCTGATCATTTTCCTCTCTTATACTCCTTGCCATTTCAATGCCATTGCAAAACGTCCTGATAGAGTTACAAACATATGTCTAGTTGGCCTACATCTGTTTTCAGAAACCGTAATTGGGCTTTACTACTCCCTATTACAAAAACTACAATCCCATCTAAATCTTGTGCACTTTTGTGACAAGTATGTGTTCCTGTACATATATACACACCAATGAACTCCATAAAGAATCGACTTCCTGTAATCCCCAATTTCCACTGCTTCTACAGAAGAATCCCCCGTGTGTACAAAAGAATGAGCAGAGACACCAGGGTGACCATGTTGATCAGTCTCTTCACCTTCTCCACCCTCCAACTCTCATCAGACGACATACTAAGATCATCATCTTCCAAAGTTTCTCGGTTCGACTTCGCCTCCAAAAGAGATACATCATCTTCCTCGCTCGCCGTCGCCGATGACGAAACAGAAGAACCGCTCGTCTCCCCATGACGAACAACACTGCCCTCATCTTCCACTTGCACGACCACGACCTGAACAGGTGCAGCCATGGTCGTTTCGTCATGAACAACAACCAGATGATCATTTGCCGGTGACGCCTGTGACACTGAAACCGTGTCCGCTGCACTGAAAACGTCAAGATGCTTGGACACCGCGAGCAACGGCTGGCCGCTGTCGGCGTGATCATCGTCGTCCTCAACGTCCTTCAAGTAGAAGACCTCGCCGTCGACGTGGTACATGCTCGCCGTGCGGACCTCCTGCGCCAGCGCGCATGGCCAGCAGAACAGCCACCGCGCGTAGTCCGTCAGCGACTTGGAGCCGCAGCACGCCGCGCTCCCGGGGAGCCCGAACCGTCTCCGCATCTGGATCCTCCAGTACCCGCCGTAGAGCAGGCCGCCCACGCAGAGCAGCACGCCGGCGCCGCCCACGGCGTCGCCGATGACGACGTTGTGGATGTGCAGCGCCGAGACGCCGAACACCCAGAGCGGCGCGAAGCAGAGGAGCGCGAACGTGACGGCGTGCACGCACGCGTTGCCGAACCCCAGTCTCTCCATGTTCCACCCGAACACGCAGAACGTGCACGACAGCGAGAGGCACCCGGTCGCCGCTGCCGCGTCGCCGCCGCCGCCGCCGCAGTCGAACATGCCGCCGGCCCACTCCGGCTCCACCACGACATGACCAACAATGGGCGTGGTGGGCTGCGTCGTCTTTGTCGCCGCCGCCGATGCTGCCGAGGCTGGACCGGAGCAGGCGGCGAGCTCGTGGCACCGGTCGCCTTTGCCCAACGGACTGCACACGGTGTACACCGCGGCAGCGACCGGCGCGACGATGCCAAGCACGAAGAAGCTGTCCTCGAGGATCTCCGGGCGCGTGCTCCTGGTGTACCCCCAGTAGAGGCCGCAGAGAACGTACTGGGAGACCACGGTGACGTGCAGCAGCACGACGACGGCGGCGATGTGCGCGCGGTCCCCAGGGCGCGGCGCCGCGGCGGCTCCGTCCTTGCAGTAGTCGGCGCGGAGCTCGGCGGCGTCGGCGGGGCGCCAGCGGCAGAGCAGGAAGAGGTGGTGGCAGAGGGCGGGGTGCTGGTACAGGCTCATGAGCGTGAAGAGCGCGTTGAGGACCTGGTTGTTGATCTCGATCCAGCGGTTCCTGTCCGCCGCCGCCGGGAACGCGCCGTCGAGCAGGCCGAGGAGGAGGAGCACGAACATGCCGCCGGAAACGCCGACGCAGAGCAGCCACAGCACCAGCGCGATGTTCATCGGGTTCGCGATCCACTCCTTGCACGTCCCGCAGACCGAGGCCCAGTCGACGCGGCCGCCGGACGGCTTGTGGTCGTCGTCGCTGGGCTTCCGGCGGCTCCAGAAGGAGGGGAGCTCTCCTTCTCCGAGGCAGTGCGCGCTCTGCTGCGGCTTGCCGTCGAGGAGGAGGTGCTCGGTGAGTTGCGGCGTGGCCGTGGGGAGTCTGTAGCTGAGGAGGCGCACGCTGGCGCCGTGGGCTCCGGTGGTTGGAGCATAATCGTCGCTGCCGACCACAGCCATGGCGCGACGACGGACGTGGTACGTACGCACCAAGAACGTGGGCTGGCACGGTACAGTGGCATATTTTTCTTGGCCTTTAAAATTTGTTGAGAGCCTCTGCCCTGACGAGACGTAAGTGGGGACGGTGACTCCATGGGTATCTTGGACGATCAGAGTTGACCCAGCAGCCCTGACCTCTGAATGGTCAATCTACCAGTACTACTATTCAGCCTTCCCCCAGGTATATAGAAGTAGCAGCCTGCCATTCAGGACTTGGTGATACAACTTGGTTGGTTAGTTTTTAACACGTTTATTAAAAGAAAAAGACATTGACTTTTACCTGTTCGTTTGGCTGATAAGCCATGGCTAAAAGTATGATTGATTGATTTATTGTGAGAGAAAAATATTATTCGTTGGCTGAAAAAATACGGCTTATAAGCCCAGCGAATTTGGCATTTACGTTAACAAAGACCATTGGCTTCATCTATAGGACGAGGAAAACTGGAGCATATAAGTTCCTCGGTTATTTTATTGAGTTTTGCTATTATTTCTGTCAAACAGATTTTGTTGGATTTTATCTGTCGAAATCTGGGCCGTTGATTGTGTTTAAAGATTCGTGCGGCTTTGTGGGCGTACAGCCACGCTGATGGGTCCGCGAACTGAGCTTTCGAACGCGCACACGGTGAGTGGGGCAAAGGTCCTCGCCGGCCGCTTCGCTTGCGCCGCGCCTGCCGCTGAGTTGTGGGCGGCGGAGCCTTCCGCTGAGCTGGGGCGGAAGCTTTGGCGCCAGGCGGGTTGGGTGGGGAACCGGGGCGCTGTCCTCGCGCGCGCGCCGCTTCCCCCTGTGCGGCGGCGAGCGGAGGTTGGAGTGGGAGCGGGATTTGATTTCTGGTGTTAGTGTTCGATTTGTCAGAATCTAAGAAGGTTCTTTGGTTTGGTTTGGATCGATTTTTCTGTGATTTTCGGAGCTATTTTTTGGGGGATTTTTCGTTTGTCAGATTTGACAGCAATTTGAGGCAGATTTCTTGAGGGATTTTGGTGCTAGGACATGTGTGATCAAGGCTAGGGTCACCCATAACAAATCCTTCACTCGAGCACCACAAATTTGATGTTTTCCCAAATTTCCCCTTTCACCTAGCGTTCTTCGATTTTCTGAAATTGGAGTTAAAGTCTGAATCTTTTTAGGCATTTTCGGTTAGAGTAGTCTGCACATGATCTGGTGAATCTTTGTTTCGAATATCATGTCAATTGGAGTTGATTTGAATTGTTTTTTAGATTTGGGGTTTGAGCTATTAGCTTTCTGTACCTTGCAGTGATTTTCAGCAGCCACAACTTCCCAGTCCTTTTGGCAGCAGTTGCTGTTCTTTGTTTGAGTTCAGTGTTGTGAGAGCAACAGGTGAGTAGCAGGCTACATGTTCTCTACAGACTTTGGTAGTTCAATTCAACATGCAGGTAGAGCTCGACTTGCAGGGTGTTTGTTAGCTACATATTCAGTAGCTGCAGCCATGTTCAATATACAGTTTAGACACTAGTAGTTTGCTGAGTTGCTTATTGAGAGGTCAATGACTAAAATAGCAGCTCGGTTGTTCTCTGTAGGTAAGTAGCATCAAGTGGCAGGTAAGCATATTCATAGTTCGGCCATGGGCTTATGTTACTAAAGTAATTTTCTCCTGCTACAATGGTTAGGACTTGAATATTCTTGCAAGCACTTATTTGATTTGTTTAATCCCTGTGAGAGTTGTAGCCTTAATCTTGCTCTATATGAATTAATATCCTGCTGCTTGTCAAGTTTGCATGAGACTTTGCTCAGTTCGTGTGTAACAACCGGCTACCAAGGTTTCATCCTTTTTGTTATGTCATTTTGATGCAATAGGGGAACCATCTTTTCAAGCAATCATTAGTCAGTGACTGAAGCTTCTCTTTGCTTGAGAAATGTACTTTGTTGTTCTGCTGCTCAAGTTGGACAGACCAGTTTGCTTGAGCATTGTTTCTTCAGCTGCACCTGAGTTAAGCCAACATTGTTGTTTTCTGTATTTTTAGTAACAGCTGTGAGCTCTTGCTATTTTCTAGCACATTGTCTTCTGCAAGTGCAGTACCCATTTTCAGCAGCTAGTCCTAAAGCTTGTTCCTTATTAGTTTGGTCGGCAAGTGTGCTTACATTGTATGGCCTCTTGTGTGTTTATCTGTTAGCTGTTTTTTTCCAAGTTGCAATTGCACCATAGAAATTCTTGTAACTACTAGTAGTGTGCCCGTGCTAACGCTACGGCAACATTAGGGTGTGCAAATTATAACCACAAAAAATATCACAAACTGGCACTCCCTCAAATTACATTTCAATGTTTTCCTTTATGGGTAATTACATTGCAACTCCACTAATTACCATACAACTACATGCATAATTGGAACTTAAGTGAATCTTCACCTGAGCAGTGGAAATAATCTCTACTGCATCACCGTCAAATGTATCATTAGCACAAAAATTTCTTCTCTTGGATGTGTTATGAATTTTTCGTTGAGGATGAACCTCGACCTGCACCTAACCTTTTGTGTGTCTTGTCTATTAGCAAGACACCCAAAACTTGTCTTTAAGGTGGAACTTTAGCACTCTTGGATGATCTTGACTGTGGCATGGTCATTGATAGGTCCAAGGGAGGTCTCTAATCTCCATCTTAGTCTCTGGTGGTTGATCGAGTATCATGTTTGTTTGACCTGCCACACGAAATGAAGTGCAATGCAAGGAACCCAACAGCCATTTGTGTTCGACCACAAAACATGAGTGACTAAATGAAAAGGAGAAAAAAGAGATTTTATTAGTTGCGTTTTCATCCAGAGTCCTTGACTTAGAACCAAACAAGAAAAATAGTGACTCCTGGTGCCATGGCAGTACCATGGACTGCTCCTCGTATAATGCCCTGCTTGTTTCCTTGGCTATTGGTTAGCACCCTTTCTCTATTTACTACCCAAACAAAATAATAAGACATTGTATAATAACAAAAATGGCTTCTAAGAACTTAAATCTAAGTTCCATAAAAGATAATTGGATCAAAACATGAGAAAAGTGCCACAACAATACACCCGAATTTAGACATGTTGGATATATAAAAAAGGAAAAGTAGGGACATGTTGGATTATTAATTAAAATAGTAAAATGCAAACAAAATTATTTTGTTTATAAAATCAAATTTTTCAGTGATATAACTTATTTGATGCAAGGCATAAAAGCGAATTGCTTGACAGCTAATAAGTCTGATATAATAATTGCTACAACTCTGGTCATTAAACTTGCTTTGATAAGCTCTCAGCTTCCATGTTTCACATCACTACTTAGCATGGCCATCATGTTGAATTGTTGAGATGAATACAACAACTGATAGAAGATGTACTGAACAATAAAAGCATGTCAAGGCTAGTTATGAACCTATTGTCAGATTTCATCTAGAAAAATAAAGGGCATGAGCCAACTGTATTTACAGTTGTGTGTTATTTTTGTCAAACAAGCAGTACGTGGGAATGGCATCAGTGTGACATACACTATGCAAGTTGAACTGAAGGAGAGAAACCTTGAAGCTGACCTATTCGATCGTAAGGCAAACCTCTTGCAGAAAGCTCCTGCAACAAATTAAATAATAGATTCAGATATTGTGTTGTTCAGTTTGCACCAGAACTATTCCTCATATTATGTTGCCACTTCCTTTTGCCCTTTTGCAGTTGCATGGTCGACCTCTAATGTTCACCTTTGTTTCTACCTTTAGTTGCAAAATAGCAATGGCTCTTTTATGAGCATATGGGCAGCAATGGGTGAGGTTCAGCAAAAATCTTATGATACACATGCAAGTATAGAGTACGGTTGATATTGATAAGGAGTTAAGGAGTTAAATGCTTTTCATCAGATAGTAGAGGCAATAAGAATTTGCATTAGTATTCAATTCTAAAGAGTCAACTGTAGGCAAGCAACTGACCCAATTCTAAATCACATACCTCCAAGATGTAGATAGGACTGGAACTCCTCTTCACAGTGGAATACCATCGAATACCTACGTTGCATCCAAAAGCAAAACTTGATTAATTTAAACATGATCGCCTGCAATTGCTAGATCCAATGCAGAGGGAGGTAGAGAGTGGATCTCACAGCCATAGACGTCCTGAACGTTTGGGCTTGTTTGACTGATAAGCCATAGCTGAAAGTACTGTTAGCTGATTTGGTGAGAGAAAATACTATTCGTTGACTGAAAAAGTACGGCTTATAAGCCAAACAAGCCCAAGAGATCGTGGAGGACAGAGACGTTGGCCATGGCCGCCATGGAACCAGCTTCCGTCATCGGCGGGGGCGGCGCGATCGCCGCCGGCAGCGGCTAGGTCCCCCTCTCCATCCACGGCGGCCGCCTTGATGACGACGTAGCCATCACGCTCGATCCGGCGCCCTCGCAGCCGGCATCCTCGAGGCCTGGTGGCCTTTCTTTTCTTTTCTTCCTCTCCTTCCGTACGTAATGACCATCATTATTTGCTTTCCTTCCTAATTCCTTTGACTCCGGTTGATTTGCCAAGAGATTAGCGCTTGCCATCGTGCACACGGGTGGGAATATTTTTTTTCCACGTGATTTTTGTGCCGGCGATTAGCTGGGGCGTGGGATTCGATCCTCGGTCGCAGAGGACATGCGGGATGTGAAGTGGAAGTGCAGGTTTGCGTTGAAGCCTGGAGGTGGGGAGATCCAAATAACTTTGGCCATCGGATTGAGTTTGAAGCCTGTGTGGGAGGATTAGTAGCCATAGATTTTAAAGATGTTGAAATCTTAGGTGCAATTTCGTTGGTGCACAATGGTTGTTCTCTTAGCGGGGGACGTATTGTTTGGTGTATCTAAAATAGTTTGGATTGGTCCCTTATAGTAGAGATAATGCAAAACCTTTTCTTGATTTGTAGCAATTTATATTTGGAACATGCTCGTTCAGCCTGTCTTCTTATTTCCATCAGCTTTTTATTTGCACACTGCAGCCAGCAAAGGACAGATATTGCAGGGCATCAC